AATATTTTATTTATTACTTTTATTTTATGTGTATGAGTGTATTGTCTGCATGTGTGTAAATGCACCTGTGTTGTGCAGTGCCCGCTGAACTCAGAAGAGGGCGTCGGATCCCCTGGAATTGGAGGTGTGGAAGGTTGTTAGCCACCATATGGTTCCTGGGAATCGAACCTAGGTCCTCTGCACAGGCAGCCAGTGCTCTTAACTGCTGAACCATCTCTCCAGGCCCCAAACCCATGAAATTCTTAACAGTGGTTGATACTGGAAATAGCAGGTAATGAGAGTCAGATGCTGTGGTAGAAGACTCAATGTGTATCAAATCACTGTTTTTCTATTAGAATTTTCCATCATGTGCACATACATATACATATGCATGTATCTCATTAAATAACAGCATCAAAATTAGTTTTAAAGGGAAGAGGAGGGACTGGAGAGATGGCTCGGCAGCTAAGAATACTTGCTGTTCTTGCAGAGGACCTGGGTTTAGTTCTCAACACTCACATGGCAGCAAACAACTGTCTGTAACTCCAACTCCAAAGGATCTGCCACCCTCTTCAAGTCTGTGTGTACACTGCACGCACACGGTGCCCTTAATACATGCAGGTAAAACACTCATATACATAAAATAAAAATAAATCTTTAAAGGTGAGGGAAAAATAAATGTACTTAAATCTCAAAGTAAGCGTGATTCTCTCAGAGTCGTATTATTACATTTGATTATCATCTTAAAATATATATATTTATTGGGGCTGGAGAGATGGCTCAGTGGTTAAGAACACTGGTTGTTCTTGCAGAAGACCCGGGTTCAAATCCCAGCACCCACATGGTACTTAACAACTGTCTGTAACTCCAGTTCCAGGGGATCCGACAGCTTCTTTTGTCCTCTGTGGGCATTGCACGACACAGGTGCACTTACCTACATGCAGGCAATACACGCATACACATAAAATAAAAATAATAAATAAAATATAAAAAATATGTATTTATTTGTTCACTTATTTATTTATACACATATGTCTATGTGTATGCCACATGTGTGCAAGTGTCCTCAGAGGCCAGAGAAGATGTCGGATTCCCCAGTAATGGAATTGGGGACACATGTGGGTGCCGGGACCCAGAGTCAAGTCCCCTAGAAAAGCAGCAAGCACTCTTATCCAATGAGCCATCTCTCCAGCCCTGCCCTAGGCTCTTATTTTCTAGAACTCTGAGCCCATACCACACTGACTTCTCCCTGGAGACTGCTGTTTTGAAGCAACAGTAAAATCAGAGGAGTTATTTTTGAAGCTGCTCTGGGCTCAGCCAAACCTCCCAGCTCGCCACAAATGAAGGAGGCCCCTTAGAGACAGGATTGTACCTTCCAGTCAAAAGGAGACAAGAGCCATTCAAAATCCTCCTTGAGTCATGGTAGCTGTCATTCTAGGGGCAGCAGAATGGCTGTTCTGGCCAAGCCTGACCGACCTAGTTTGATCCCCAGGACTCATGTGGTGGAAGGAGACTTGATCTGGAAAGCAGCTCTCAAACCTCTACACTCATGTTGTGCCGCACTCACCCCCACCAATAAATAAATGTAAAAAAAAAATTAATGCATCCTAGGCCAACCTTGATCCCAGGCAAACTGGGACTATCAGTCACCTTATAACCCCTGGGAGAACAGAGGACAGAGCCAGGGGATGGAAAGAGGTTCCTAGGGACCAAGGCTGAACAGGCTGTGGGAACTGGGCTAGTTTGATCTTCACCAAGATAACAGGCTGCTGCAGCTAGGGCCTTGGGGCAGGTGACTTGGGGCACATGGTCTGTGTCCATTGGACCCCTGGGGGCCTCACCTGAGCGGTGGTAGCTGAACCATTGCTTCTGGGTAATGAGGCCCAGCCTCCAAGCTTCCTGGGCCCCAGTGCGAAGGATGGATGTCAAGGTGGCTTCCTCGGGCCCTCGGGCCTCCGATGTGCCCTGTGGCTGCAGGACGTATGTGGGGGGGATGGTGTTGTTGTCTCTCCGGAAACGGCTGGCCACCAGCTCCAGGTCGGGAGGCCTAGATGTCAGCTGGGCCCTCAGTGCCTCCCACTCCTTCTCTTCGATCCGTGGGGGGACTGGGCAGGGGCCATACTGGTCACCCAGGAGGGCCTGGAGAGAGACGGGACAAGCGTGGGTTCAAATCCTACTTGGCAAGGAGTTCTGGGATGTGATGGAAGCATGCCTGGGACCCTGAAACCAGCTTGATGGTGACTTCGTGGTGATAGTTACACCAAGAAACAAGGACAGAACCTGGGTGTGGAAGGAGGGAGAGGAGGAGGGGGAG